TCATTTCTGCTCAGAAGAGGCTCTTCAGAGGACAGATGTCCACTCAGTAATCAGTGTGTGAGGACAGAGAGCACAATCTAAAGACAAGAGCTGCGAGACGCTCTCATATAATATCAGTTTCCAGTCTTTGGTCACACTGTAGAACTTGCAGAGGAGGACAAATTACATTAACGTCACAGTTGTACCGTTTTTCAGTCCGTGGGATGTGGAGTTAAAGGGAACAATCTCAGACTCTCAAAGAAAGGAAAACCTCATTATGATCAGAAGTGTTTTTATTGATACTTTTCCAGGAAACAGTCAGAGTTCGCCTGCAAGAGAGAGTCAAAGTTTAGTCATGAATCAATAAAGTGTTATCTGTGTTGGTCCCTGAAGGCATCATCTCCCTGGTCCAATGGGATTCCTCCATTTGATTTTGGATGATTGCATTACGTTGATGATACTAACACGTAGTGAGGCATTTATTCTATATTTATTTAGCTTTATTGTGTAACTAAAGTAAACATTTCTCAGTGCAAGCTATCTTTCACATGTTATGCTGGGTTCATGTCCCCAGCGTTAAGATAAGGACTTTATTGATCCCAATTTGGGAAATCTTTGCATTTCAGCAGCATAAAAAGACTAGGCATTGTACATTAGAGGAATTCAAAGACTAGAAAACAATCCAAAATGTAAACATCTCAAATAGCATTACAAAAGGAGGAACTAGTTAAAGACACCAAAGCATCCATTCCTGGCACAATTAATGTCTATGTAAATACTGCTATATTTGTAAATATTTTTCTAGTTCTGTGTTTTTAATTCTGGTTTTACTTTTATGTATACACCACAACATCAAGTCAAATTCCTCGTACGGGTCAACCTGCCTGGTAATAAACCTGATTCTGATGCAACGCAAACATTTCCCAAATTGGGATCAAAAAGTACTTCTTATCTTATGTACAGCTAAAGAACTTGTTTGCGTTGTACCTCAGAAGACCAGATGGATGTTCTTTAAAAAGTTCAGGTGATAGTCTGAAAGTTAACATTTCTTGGAGCAAACTATTTTTCATTTGTTGGTGAGTTCATGTCCCGAGCGTTAAACACACCCATGCATGTGCAGCTAAAGAACTGTTTGCGTTGTACCTCAGAAGACATTGGTCCCTGCGATGGAAAGACTCCCCGGTGTCTTCCTTCTCCTCGGTGCTTCGAAGACCTCTGACTCTGGGGAGAAACTGGAGTGAGAGAGGACTTCCTTTTCCCGCTGGTAGCTGTTTCTGGACTGGACTATGTAGGACGAAGACAGCGGAGGCGACTTATCGCTCGCCGGGGTCTCCGTGATTGGTTCCCATTGGGCGAAACCCCAGAAAGGTGGCCTCCAGTTGTTCGGTTTCATGAACGAGGTTTTTGCCCAGGGAAATACCACAGGATCCGTCGGTTCGTAGCTAACAGGTCCATCAGCTGTGTTAATACTGGTTTGATCTGAAATCAGACATATTTAGGTGAAATGTCAAGAAGTTAAACGAAACAAACGTCATGCTTCCAAACCAGTCAAAAACGTACCCTTATTTGTAACAGGGTAGCCTACGTTGGAGTAATGAGGCGCACCGCCCAAGGGAACAGTTCCATCATAGAGTCCACCTCGGTTACTTCTAGTTTGACCTGGAACCAGAGGCAGTTTTAGGCAACATGTCCAGCAGTTTATAGTTCATTTAAAGCTTCTGAACCAGTCTAAAAAGGTTAAAGACTTACCGCCATTTATCGGAGCTGCGTTGGCATAACGAGTATTACCGCCAAAGGGAAAAAGTCCATCAACACGTCCACGGGGCACAACTAGAGAGATTTAGCCAAAAGGTCAAGGAGTCCATGAAAAACAAACAAAAATCTTAATTTTCTAAATGGTTTTATTAGAAGACCTACAGTCTATTGACACAGGTTTTGCGTTGGCATAGCGAGTAGCAGCGCCATGAGGAACAGGTCCATCAACACTTCCTGAGGGAGCGGTGTTACTTTCTGCAACGAGACAGATTCAGGCATAGAGACATGCCTCTAAACTAATCTGAGGATAATTCAGGAAACGTCAGGGGTGCCCTCTATCTCCATTACTATTTGTACTGGCAATTGAGCCCCTGGCTATCGCGGTTAGAACTCATTCTCATATCACAGGAATAACAGTTGGGGGCATTGAAAATCGCCTGGCCCTTTACGCTGATGATATTGTTTTATTTATAAAAAATGTATCAGTGTCATTGCCAGCGCTCAATAAACTGATAAAGGATTTTGGTACGTTCTCAGGGTATAAGGTGAATAGTTCGAAATCTAACATTCTTCTACTTAAAGAATCTGAAAGACTTAATCCACCTCTTCAAACAGATTTCCAAAATTCCCTGGAAGGCTTTAAATATTTAGGAATACAGATTACACCTGAAATAGAAGACCTTGTTCCAACAAACTATGACCCCATAATAGCTTCTGTGACAGATTCTATTAACAGGTGGACATCACTCCCTCTATTCCTAATCGGACGAATCAATATTATCAAGATGAATGTCCTACCTACATTTTTGTATCTATTTCAATCCCTGCCATTGCACCCACCATCCTCATTCTTTCCCAAAATGAAGAAAATCTTTACAAATGTTATCTGGAACAATCAGAGACCAAGGTTACGGCTATCCCTTTTATATCTACCTTATGAGAGAGGAGGACTCCAGGTACCCAATCTGTCCTGGTATTACTGGGCAGCCCAAATAAGAGCAGCAATGTGTTGGTTCTTGGACGGAACCCCCATACCATGGGTTGAAATTGAACGTTATACAACAACTCCACTACCACTGAATTTGTATTTATTCTCTGACTCTCCAAAACAGCTTAAAAAGAATACAAAAAACCCTTTTGTCAGGAACACAGTTGATGTCTGGTTCAAAGTACAAAGCCACTTAGGTTTAAAGTCACAGATATCCTCTTTTACTCCTGTATGGGGTAACAGAAGATTTATACCAGGAACATATGACTCAGGGTTTAAAATGTGGGCCAACAGAGGCATCAATAAGATCAGTGATCTATATGATGACAACAAACTGATGACCTTTGAGATGCTAAGAAATAAACATCATATTCCCTCAACACATTTCTTTAAGTATCTGCAGCTAAGGAGTTATATATCTAAGGCACAAAATCACTCACTATTATGTCCACCTCTGTCAAAGCTGGAAACAATTATAGTACATCACTCCTCTGGTCATGGACAGGTGTCTTTGATCTATGACCTTTGCAAAACTGAATCAGAAGAGTCCTCAGAGAAGAAAAGACTTGCTTGGTCTACTGATTTGAATGCAGAGGTAACAATTGAGGAATGGGGGCAGATATGCCACAAAGCCCAGGTTCAAACTATTAACACGAGGTTTAGACTCCTACAGTACAAATGGATTATGCGTACCTATATAACTCCATCCCTACTACACCATTTTGATGCAAATATTCCAGATCAATGTGTAAAGTGTGATAATGATAAGGGAACATTGTTCCACTGCTTATGGGACTGCCCAAATATTAAATCATTTTGGAAAGATGTTCTGGGCACATTGTCAAAAATAATTTCCGCCACATTACCAGAATGCCCAAAACTCTGTATTCTTGGGGTTTTCCCTCTAACTCCCAGACTTAATATCACTAAGAAAAGACTAGTAGTTTTTTCTCTTCTCCAAGCTAAACACACAATAGCTGTCTTTTGGAAAAACCCAGAAAACCCCTCGATCAATCACTGGTTAAAAAATCTCTCATTGTTTAGCCTTAGAAAAATTGACATTTGCCATAAAGGGAAAGCCTGAAGCGTTCCATCAAATATGGGGGGAATTCTTGGAGTTTTTGGAAATAAATGTACCTCCTAATTGACCATGTCCTCTATAATGGTTGGATGTGATGTGGCTACTTGTCTGCCGGCTTTGTAACTTGCAATGTTTAAATTACAATATTTACCACATGTCCACTTACGTATATATGTGTATATATTTCTTTATTTTTTTTCCTTTCTTTCTTGTATTATTATGTTTTTGATTTTTCTTTGCGGGATATATACTTGTGCAATGTCTTATGCTGAAAAAACGAAATACCAATAAAAATATTTGTCAAAAAAAAAAATCTGAGGATAATTGGGTAACTTACCGTCCATGTTGGCAAAAGGATAACCTCCATAACCATAAGAGACCACTTCAGGAGCAACGCCACTGGGAACAGATCCTGGGTTACCAGACTGACCTGAAACCAGAGAGAGGTTTGAGTTTATGGAAAACAAAGTTAATGTAATGCTTCTTAACTAGTCTATATATTGGAGGACTTACTGTCTTTTGACACAGGTTTTGCGTTGGCATAACGAGTCGCACCGTCATAGGGAACAGGTCCATCATAGAGACCAGTCTGACCTGAAACAGACATATTTAAGGAAAATGTCCACGTTTTTAGAGAATAAATGTGATGTAATGCTTCTAAACCAGTATAAAATATTGAAGACTGACCTTCATTTGTAATGGCGTACCCCGTTTTAACGTATTGAGTAGCATCAAAGGGAACAGGTCCATCAACACGTCCACTGGGGGCAACTAGAGATAGATTTAGCCAAAAGGTCAAGGAGTCCATGGACAAAAACTTAATTTCAAGCTTCTTGATGGTTCTATAGTTTGGAAGACTTACCGTTTATTGACACAGGTGTTGCACCACCATAGGGATCAGGTCTATCATCGAGTCCACCTGGGGCAGCTGGGTTACTTCCAGTTTGACCTGGAACCAGAGGCAGTTTTAGGCAAACTGTCCAGCATTTTATAGTCAATTTAAAACTTCTGAACCAGTTTATAAGTTAAAAGACTTACCTGCATTTATCGGGGCTGCGTTGGCATAACGAGTATCGCCGAAGGGAACAGGTCCATCAACACGTCCTGAGGCAGGGGTGTTACGGTCTGCAACTAGAGACAGAGTCAGGCAATAAAGACATGCCTCTAAACTAATCTGTGGATAATTGGGTAACTTACCGTCCATGTTGCCAAAAGGATAAAATACATAACCATCGGAGATCACTTCAGGAGCAACGCCACTGGGAATGGATCCTAGGTTACCAGACTGACCTGAAACCAGAGAGAGATTTAGGCAAGATGCAGAGAAGTCTATGTTATGTTTCTTAACTAGTATATAGGTTAGAAGACTTACTATCTTTTTTCACTGGGTTAGCATTTGTATGACGAGTAGCACCGCCATAGGAAACAGGTCCATCAACACGTTCTGAGGCAGTGGTGTTACTTTCTGCAACTCGAGACAGATTCAGGCAAAAAGTAAGGAGATTTTAGTCAATAAAGACATGCCTCTAAACTAATCTAAGGATAATTGGGTAACTTACCGTCCATGTTGCCTAAAGGATAACCGCCATAACCATAGGAGATCACTTCAGGAGCAGCGCCACTGGGAACAGATCCTGGGTTACCAGACTGACCTGAGACCAGAGAGAGGTTTGAGTTTATGGAAAACAAAGTAAATGTTATGCTTATAAACCGGTCTATAGGTTGGAAGACTTACTGTCTTTTGTCGGGTCTGCGTTTGTGTATTGAGAAGCACTTCCATAGGGAACCGGTCCATTAGCTGTGCTCCTACCAGTTTGACCTGGAACCAGAGACATATTTAGGCGAAAGGTTGAGAAGTTAAATGAAACGAACGTCATGTTATGCTTCTAAACTAGTCAAAAACGTACCTTTATTTGTCACAGGGTAGCCTGCGTTGGGGTCTTGAGTATCACCGCCAAAGGGAACAGGTCCATCAACAAGTCCACTGGGGGCAACTAGAGATAGATTTAGCCAAAAGGTCAAGGAGTCCATGGACAAAAACTTAATTTCAAGCTTCTTGATGGTTCTATAGGTTGGAAGACTTACCGTTTATTGACACAGGTTTTGCACCACCATTGGGATCAGGTCTATCATCGAGTCCACCTAGGGAAGCTGGGTTACTTCCAGTTTGACCTGGAACCAGAGGCAGTTTTAGGCAAAATGTCCAGCATTTTATAGTCAATTTAAAGATTCTGAACCAGTTTAAAAGTTAAAAGGCTTACCGGCATTTATCGGGGCTGCGTTGGCATAACGAGTATCACCGCCGAAGGGAACAGGTCCATCAACACGTCCTGAGGCAGCGGTGTTACGGTCTGCAACTACAGACAGAGTCAGGCAATAAAGACATGCCTCTAAACTAATCTGTGGATAATTGGGTAACTTACCGTCCATGTTGCCAAAAGGATAAAATACATAACCATCGGAGATCACTTCAGGAGCAACGCCACTGGGAATGGATCCTAGGTTACCAGACTGACCTGAAACCAGAGAGAGATTTAGGCAAGATGCAGAGAAGTCTATGTTATGTTTCTTAACTAGTATATAGGTTAGAAGACTTACTATCTTTTTTCACTGGGTTAGCATTTGTATGACGAGTAGCACCGCCATAGGAAACAGGTCCATCAACACGTTCTGAGGCAGTGGTGTTACTTTCTGCAACTCGAGACAGATTCAGGCAAAAAGTAAGGAGATTTTAGTCAATAAAGACATGCCTCTAAACTAATCTAAGGATAATTGGGTAACTTACCGTCCATGTTGCCTAAAGGATAACCGCCATAACCATAGGAGATCACTTCAGGAGCAGCGCCACTGGGAACAGATCCTGGGTTACCAGACTGACCTGAGACCAGAGAGAGGTTTGAGTTTATGGAAAACAAAGTAAATGTTATGCTTATAAACCGGTCTATAGGTTGGAAGACTTACCGTCTTTTGTCGGGTCTGCGTTTGTGTATTGAGAAGAACTTCCATAGGGAACCGGTCCATTAGCTGTGCTCCTACCAGTTTGACCTGGAACCAGAGACATATTTAGGCGAAAGGTTGAGAAGTTAAATGAAACGAACGTCATGTTATGCTTCTAAACCAATCAAAAACGTACCTTTATTTGTCACAGGGTAGCCTGCGTTGGGGTCTTGAGTATCACTGCCAAAGGGAACAGGTCCATCAACAAGTCCACTGGGGGCAACTAGAGATAGATTTAGCCAAAAGGTCAAGGAGTCCATGGACAAAAACTTAATTTCAAGCTTCTTGATAGTTCTATAGGTTGGAAGACTTACCGTTTATTGACACAGGTTTTGCACCACCATTGGGATCAGGTCTATCATCGAGTCCACCTGGGGCAGCTGGGTTACTTCCAGTTTGACCTGGAACCAGAGGCAGTTTTAGGAAAAATGTCCAGCAGTTTATAGCTAATTTAAAGATTCTGAACCAGTTTAAAAGTTAAAAGGCTTACCGGCATTTATCGGGGCTGCGTTGGCGTATCGAGTATCATCGTCATAGGGAACAGGTCCATCAACACGTCCACGGGGGGAAACTAGAGATAGATTTAGCCATAATGTCAAGGAGTCCATGAAAAAAACTAAAACTTTCATTTTCCAAATGGTTTTATTGGAAGACCTACAGTCTTTTGACACAGGTTTTGCGTTGGCATAACGAGTAGCAGCGCCATTGGGAACAGGTCCATCATAGAGACCAGTCTGACCTGAAACAGACATGTTTAGGCAAAATGTCCAAGTTTTTAGGGAATAAATGTGATGTAATGCTTCTAATCCAGTCTAAAAGTTGGAAAACGTACCTTCATTTGTCACGGGGTAGCCTACGTTGGAGTATTGATTCGCACCATCATAGGGAACAGGTCCATCAACACGTCCACCTGTTGCTGCTGCGGTACTTTCTGCAACTAGAGAGAGGTTTCGGCCAAATTTAAACCAGTTTATGGAGAATACGGTTAACTTAAAGCTTCTGAACCAATCTAAAAGATCATTGTCCCCGGCTTGAGCTTCAGTCTCAGGATCCATGTATTTGTGATCCTCTCCAGAATGGAAGTAGTCATCACATACAGAGCATCAACTAGTTCCTGAACAGTGTCCTTCACATGCTGATATCCAAGAGAGGGAGTTACACAGTCACAAGATGGAGGAATAGAAAGCAGTATTCAATGTTTACTTCAGATTAGCTCCACGTCAGAAATGATCATGCTTGTCATATGTCTATCTCCATAGAGGCTGAATCATCATGTTAATCACATAGCTATCATATGCCTCAAACAGTCCTGATGCTCTTCTAGGTAATCACACATCCTGTCATGTACACAGCTACAGTTGGGATACCTTTGTTAGCATGCTACTCTCATATTGGAAGAGGACATTCAGTATTTTCACAACACAGACTTACTGCCTTTTTGCACAGACTCAATGGTGCCGAAAGGGAAAGACCCGGGACCAAAGTGGTACGCTTCAGGACCCCCGATGTAAGGAACGGGTCCGTCACCAAAGTCCAACATTGGAGGATTGTTCCAAGCAGGAGAAACGCTGTGGACCAAACTGGACGACGATACTCCCAAATCTGTATCTGCGTTTCCACCAGAACCAGATGGAGGAGAGGAAGGAAGTAGTGGAGAACAAATACTTTGTTACTGTACTTAAGTGCATTTCTCTGGTATCAGACAAATAAGTAGTGGAGTAAAGTACTGACAACTTTTTACTTTGACCACAAATACCTGTACTTTCTACTTCTTACATGTTGAACCCAAATACCTATACTTTCTACTTCTTACATTTTGAACCCAAATACCTGTACTTTCTACTTCTTACATTTTGAACCCAAATACCTGTACTTTCTACTTCTTACATGTTGAACACTAATACCTGTACTTTCTACTTCTTACATGTTGAACACAAATACCTGTACTTTCTACTTCTTACATGTTGAACACAAATACCTGAACTTTCTACTTCTTACATGTTGAACACAAATACCTGTACTTTCTACTTCTTACATGTTGAACCCAAATACCTGTACTTTCTACTTCTCACATTTCCCAAACAGGCTGGTTCCTTTAGTTTGAATGTGTGTTTGGTGGCGTGATCATTATTATTTAGAGTCATTGCGTGCCTATTGATTTGAACACGATCCGTGTATCCATCATTTCCTGGTCTTCTCTAAAGAAGAGGGACCAATGAAAACGTTGTCATGTTGCCGTTGTTCAGCATGGAAACATTCATTAGCTAACAATGACATTATTGTTCTATTAATATAAAGGGAGGTCAGGTACTCTTTAAAACAGCTGCTAGTTATGGGTACTTTTTACTGAAGTACATTTCAAAGCCCTCTTTACTTTGACTTGAGTAAAGAAGTTTAGTCAGTACTTCTACTTTTACCAGAGTATATTTAAACACGAGTATCTGTACTTCTACTTGAGTAAAGGATGTGTGTACTTCTACTTGAGTAAAGGATGTGTGTACTTCTACTTGAGTAAAGGATGTGTGTACTTCTACGCGAGTAAAGGATGCGTGTACTTCTACGCGAGTAAAGGATGCGTGTACTTCTACGCGAGTAAAGGATGCGTGTACTTCTACGCGAGTAAAGGATGCGTGTACTTCTACGCGAGTAAAGGATGCGTGTACTTCTACGCGAGTAAAGGATGCGTGTACTTCTACGCGAGTAAAGGATGCGTGTACTTCTACGCGAGTAAAGGATGCGTGTACTTCTACGCGAGTAAAGGATGCGTGTACTTCTACGCGAGTAAAGGATGCGTGTACTTCTACGCGAGTAAAGGATGCGTGTACTTCTACGCGAGTAAAGGATGCGTGTACTTCTACGCGAGTAAAGGATGCGTGTACTTCTACGCGAGTAAAGGATGCGTGTACTTCTACGCGAGTAAAGGATGCGTGTACTTCTACGCGAGTAAAGGATGCGTGTACTTCTACTTGAGTCAAGGATGCGTGTACTTCTACTTGAGTAAAGGATGCGTGTACTTCTACTTGAGTCAAGGATGCGTGTACTTCTACGCGAGTAAAGGATGCGTGTACTTCTACGCGAGTAAAGGATGCGTGTACTTCTACGCGAGTAAAGGATGCGTGTACTTCTACGCGAGTAAAGGATGCGTGTACTTCTACGCGAGTAAAGGATGCGTGTACTTCTACGCGAGTAAAGGATGCGTGTACTTCTACGCGAGTAAAGGATGCGTGTACTTCTACGCGAGTAAAGGATGCGTGTACTTCTACGCGAGTAAGGATGCGTGTACTTCTACGCGAGTAAAGGATGCGTGTACTTCTACGCGAGTAAAGGATGCGTGTACTTCTACGCGAGTAAAGGATGCGTGTACTTCTACGCGAGTAAAGGATGCGTGTACTTTCTACGCGAGTAAAGGATGCGTGTACTTCTACTGCGAGTAAAGGATGCGTGTACTTCTACGCGAGTAAAGGATGCGTGTACTTCTACGCGAGTAAAGGATGCGTGTACTTCTACGCGAGTAAAGGATGCGTGTACTTCTACGCGAGTAAAGGATGCGTGTACTTCTACGCGAGTAAAGGATGCGTGTACTTCTACGCGAGTAAAGGATGCGTGTACTTCTACGCGAGTAAAGGATGCGTGTACTTCTACTTGAGTCAAGGATGCGTGTACTTCTACGTGAGTAAAGGATGCGTGTACTTCTACGCGAGTAAAGGATGTGTGTACTTCTACGTGAGTAAAGGATGTGTGTACCCTCTCTGGATGGAGGCTGATCCCCAGCTTCAGTGGGTGGAGCAGTGAGGTTGACGGACCCTTGGTTTGAATCTGAAGGCATGATGAACTTGTCTGGTTTGTAACTCTGAGGATCCTCATTTGGAGCTTCAGATCCTCCAGAGCCCCGGGTCGCAGGTTAGGGTTACACATAAAAACAATTAGGTGTCACGCTTCTACATATATTACAAAACAGCCCAATAGATGCAGCTGTGTACTTTAAGCTTTAGCATATTCTGTTAAACATATGTTCCTAAAGATGTTGCACCAAATAGCTTTTTTAATTTAAACTTTTCAGATTTGTTTTCACTTCTAATCTAAATGTGCGAATGTCCATGCTTCAATGTATGTATACTGAAGAGTAACTTTGTCTTAATATATCAGTGTTTTCTCATAGAAACTCACCTCCTTTTGTTGCAGGAAAACCCTCCCCACTGCCGACCAGCAGCAGACAGATCCACAAAACCCTACACACACACAGACACACACGCGCACAGACACACACGTTAAACCTCTCAGAAGCCGCTTTTAAAGAATCAGATGGGTTGTCTTCTTCTATGGTTTTATGGCAGTTGGCCAACAGCTTTTAGGTGCATTTACCGCCACCTTCTGAAATGCAGTGTGGATCAGCTCAGTGTTAATCTCAATTCTTAATACAATTCCTGTCCTTTTTAACAACCTAAACTCTGCCCTATGCTACATCCCCTGAACTCCTTCTCTAAATCTCTACTAGATTTAATTCTGTTTGATTTCTGTTCAGTGCTTCCTTTAGTAATATACATTCTTGATGGTATTTGGGACATTGCAAACAAATGTGCTCCACTGTTTCATAATGACCACAATATTCACATTTGCCGAATAATGTGTTATTTAGCCGTGTGACCAAATCTCATTCTTGAAATGATGTCCTCTTTTTTTTTTTTTACTTCTGTTGACTTCTCTTGTTTCTCCAACTTTCTTTTGAACATTATAAAAATGTCTAGTAAAACCTACTGTTTGGTGAAGCAGCTTTTAAAGAATCAGACAGTTTGTCCTCACCTCACAGACGTTATGAGCTCCATGCCTCCTGCTGTGACCTGATGAAGCTCCTCTGCTTTTAAACTGAAGCTCCTCAGCTCTGATTAACTCATTGAAGACACCTGGAGAGTCTGCAGCTGTTCAACTCCCTGCCTGCGTCACTACACCCCCAAACATTACATATCCTAATCTGCATGGTTTGTTTGATGCAGAAAGCCTTTATTTCCTCTCATTTTGCAGAATGCTTCTCTTGTTCTGACCCAAAATCCTTTGCAAGAGGGTCAAAGTTCATAAGGTGCCGTGTTATATTGAAGTACTGCATGCAAATAAGCATATTTTCTAATATGCAGTGTGTACTTAAAGTAAAAAAATAAAAGTATGCAGACATGATTGTAACTTACAACTGCAGATACATGTAGTGCATTAAAAAAATGACTATTTTACTTGAAAAGTGTGTTGAAAAATAGCATAAAATGCATTGCATTTAAAAAAAGGGCGATATCGCAGTAAAATAAAACCATAAATGTAAGAAAAACACATAAAAATACGGCTGGGAATATAAAAAATGTAGCAAGAGCAAGTGTAGAGTGAGTTTCTATGTGAAGTTCATGTTGATTATATTTTATTTTACTGAAATAAAATGGTACAAATACCTAAAAACTGAGAAAAAACATGTACAAAAATACATAATGTGGTTAGTATGTACATTATGTAGCCATGTTTGATATACAATGAGACATGCAGCACAACATAACCATTAAGCAACTGATAACAAACACAAGAATGACCACAAAGGGATGCACAATCAAGGGTGTAACTTTGGTTTGAGAAGTGGGGGGGACACAAAACAGGGGGTCCTCCGCAATGAAATATTTTCTCAATTTAATTCCATTTCCTGCCTTTCTACAAATATATTAGGGACTATGGTGTTAACAAATCCAAGAAAAATGTGTAGTGTATATAATGAGTGTGCACACTTATCTAGTATCCTATCCATGTGAACCTGTTTTATTTGTGATTACCTGACATCCTCGGGAAGATTTGTTTCTTTAAATTGAAGTTGAATGCATCAATCTGGTGCACTTTGAGGGCAACATTAAGAGATTTATGGATACAGTTCTCAACACTCATATGAAACAGAACTGTATATAGTTCAATAATCAAAAAGCCATTAGAATATGCTCACAACCAATAACAAATCATTGATAAACTCCTCTCTCCTATCTTTATCTTACCTAGTCTGCATTTTTTCTTTTTATTTATGCATATTTGACTAATCACTCCCCTTTCAAACTGTGTTTTTTATTTTTGTACTGACCTATAGTACACATTGGAAGGATTTCTTAACTTATTTTATATACAACTATATATTACATAGATGGAAATATTTGTTTACATAGATGACCAAACCGTTTGAGACCCACTGAGATAACTAGACTAAAGTTTACAACCTAATCACTCAGAGAGTCCTTTACCTCCCTGAGCTGACGTTATCTCTCTCAGTCCGACAGGAGAGGACTCTCCCTCTCCTTATTGTTGAAACAGCTTCTAATCTCCGTTAGCTCCGAGCTAGCACCAGATGCTAACAACAACCCACGTAACTCTCTCAGTCTCTCTCTCTCTCTGTGTCTCTCTCTGTGTCTCTCTCTCTCTGTCTCTCTCTCTCTGTCTCTCTCTCTGTCTCTCTCTCTCTCTCTCTCTCTCTCTCTATTTCTCTCTCTCTCTCAGTCTCTCTCTCAGGGTGTTTCTCAATCGCGAGTAAAGCTGCTTCAGAGCCACTATTTCAAGCATACTACGTCATCGAGTGCCGCCGAAGTACTGTTCCAATCTCCAGTATACTTGGAAATCTACCGAGCCCGGCGTACTCCGTTTGGAGAAATATCGAGTGTGCACATGAGTAGACTTCGCGGTCTTGCGTGTTCCTCTCTTTGTTTTCCGAATGTCAGGAAGTATTCTTGACTCGCTTCTGAAGCAAGATGCTCGGCAGACATGTGCTACCAAGCAAGCGTACTCGCAATTGAGAAACACCCTCGGTCTCTCAAAGTCCGACAGGAAAGAGCTCTCCCTCTCCTTATTGTTGAAACAGCTACTAATCTCCATTAGCTCCGAGCTAGCACCAAATGCTAACAACAACCCCCGTAACTCTCTATGTCTCTCTCTCTCTTTCTATCTCTCTCTCACAAGATGCGCTCGTGCCACACACACAGAGACGCTCCTCCGTGACGAGGACCGCTTGCGTAAAAAAAAAATAAAAATTAAAAAAAAAAAAAATTTAAAAGTGGGGGGGACACAAATGGGATGTCCCCCCTGTCCCCAGTGAAAATTACGCCCATGTGCACAATCCTTATTAAAGTCGACTCTCTGCGTTCAGGGGGTGTTTTAGTGTAGATATAAAGAGAGGTGGGGCGGCATGTGTTTACGTCGAGAGTCTCTGAGACACAAAGCCGGTGTTGTTCGAGGCTCAGAAGTGAAGATGAGACATTTGTGAGCATAGAGAGCAACGGTTTGTTTCTCATCAGCCACAAATGTTGACCTTTTTGACCTCTGAGATGACCTCTGTGTACTTACTTGTTGTTTTACTGTTTATAACTTAACTCAGCATGAGCATAGCTTTCATTAGAGCCCAATATGAAGGCTCTACGACAACGTTGAAAAATCGACCTTTTGGAGCTGAAAAATTGGCGGCCATCTTAGATTTGAAGGTCAAAAATAGGTCAAATCATCAAAACAACATCAAATATGAATTCCTCGACCCAAAAAGTGCCAGAAACCATGTATTGAACAACATTGTAGGCCAAAACATTGAAAAGCACATTTTCAACCTATGTTGATGGCAGCCATTTTGGATTTAGGGCTCTAAAAAATGTTGCCCGCATTTCTGCGAGGGGCATGGGGGCTACATTTTTTAAAAACCCTTCATAGATTACAAATCCACTGAGAAACGAACCTCCGCTCTCCACGGTCACGGAATTGCTGGAGATGACCCAACTATAACTGAATAGCCCTTGACCTGAACGAACTCCTTAGGCCAGGGTTACTCAAACCTTTTTATTAAAGGTCCACTTGTGAATTTTATACAAGGTCACTCGTCCGGATAAATGCCAGTAAAGTCTGGAATAATCTACCGGACTACGACCAACAACACTACTGGGCTGTTCTGCGGCTGGAGCCCAGAGGAGCTGCGGCAGGCTCAGGAGGCTGATCCAGACATAGGACCCATCAAAGCATGGATGGAGGCCAGCGACGAACGGCCACAATGGGTAACAGTCTCCCGTGCAGCCCAGCTACAAAAACATATTGAAGCCAGTGGAAGCGGCTCTACTTCAAAGACGGAATTCTGGTTAGGCGGTTCTACTGCCTAGATGACAAACAGTTTTATCCACAAGTGGTGCTGCCTCGAGTCTTCCGCCCTGATGTCATGGAACAAATGCATGTGCATGGACCTGATAGCTGGTCTACCCCAAGACTCTGGCACACTCCCTTCAGCCCCTGAATATGTCCAGCAGACCCGACAACGCCTGGAGCTGGCTCATCAAATCACCAGAGAGGCCCTTGGTGAGTCTGTAAAACGTGCTAAGAGACAATACGACAAAAACTGCTGTCGCACACGGTACCATATTGGTGATGCTGTGTGGTACCTGATTAAAGGAACACGGCGAGACAAAAACCAAGTCAGGAAGTTTCTCCCGTCGTACGAAGGACCATACTTCGTTCTGGGACACTTGGATGATCTGGTGTATCGCATCCAGAAAGGCCTGAAGACTAAAGTGAAAGTGGTTCACCATGATCAGCTGAAACCCTACCGCTGCCGTGATCCACTGGACAACGCCTGGGCTGTGGAGCACGCCCGGAGATGGACACCTACGGAGGTGTCGGCCCCTGCCTTGGACATGGATCCTGCAGATCCTACCCTGGGTCTATCTCACCTGTTCACCGACACTGACGCCGCAGCTGAGGAAGGCTCCAGCTGCACCTCATCAGATCCAGAAGTGGACACTGTCGCTGCTGCCCTTTCAATCCCCTCCACTCCTCCGGACTCTTCTGCCCCTGAGGACATTCAGGTTAGTGGGGGTAGTGTGGTAGAGCAGCACCGTCAGAGCCATCCTGTTCCAGGGCCAGGGACGGGCCGCAACAGAGAACCACCTGTCTGGTATGGTGAGTGGGTGAGGAAATAAGCCTCACAGTTAAAGGTCCCATGTCATGGCCATTTCCACTGATCATAATTCCATTGTTGAGGTCTACTAGAATAGATTTATATTACAAACTCACAAACTTACAACATTTTCCAAACTCACATTGGTTTCTCAAACAGCATCTCTGTAAACTACGTGTATTCACTGAATTTCACTCTCTGCCTTTAACGGCTCGTTGTAGCTCCAATAGCTCCAGCCCCCACCCTCCCTGTGAGCACAGTGTGCTCTGATTGGTCGGGACGTTGTGAATCGCGCTGAGCTCCGTGGAGGTGTGGTTTCCTTAGCGACAGCGAAACAGAGCCAAACTCATCCTGAGCACACACAAACTCACAGCCGAAGTAAAAACAATAAGTGTGGCTTGATATTGAGTAAGAAAAAGGTTGATAAACGCTGTGAGAATGGGTCTGCAGAGAGAATTTCGCCGCGATCCCAACTGTCTGTTATCAGTGCAGCCAGGGAGGAGAAATCAGCAGAGCTGCCTGCACTGAGTGTGTGTGTGTGAGGAAGTCCGTGGATTGGTCAATTTGGACCAATCAGCGGGAGCTTAACGTAACTGCTCCGCGGACGTAACGTAACAGCTCCACGGATTGGTCCATTTGGTTCGGGGTACCGCATGACCGTATCGCGTCATAGCTCTGGGCGTGGCTACTGGCCATCCCTACGTCACGATACCCAGGAAGTAAACAATGGAAAATGAGAAATCTCCAACGAGGCGTTTTGGGGAGGTCTTTTCTGTGTTAGAGTTTTACTCGCTACAGGGTGTACTTTGAGGGTTTTTGACTCTGCAGACCGTTGACATGCATAAAAACCTTCATAACACACAAGGGGATGGGTAATAACTGGAAAAGCATGACATGGGACCTTTAAAGG